TTGTTACATTTAATCTTTTAAATTGTAATCGTTAATAGATGGATAAAACAATCAAAATGAATATTTATTTGTGACACATCGATAGTTATTCTTTATTATAGTTTGTCAAAGTCTCAATGTGTTCATAGATGCAATATATAGTAATAAATATGTTTTATTGCTTAGAAACAAAGACGTAAAAAAAAAAGTGAGAAAAAAGAAAAGAAAATTTCACTCTAATTTTAATGATATACAATTGTTATTCATTCAAGATTAAGTATTTTTCAATAAATAAGTATTGGATTTTAGACAATCAAGATATTAAAGAAAAATCATCTTAAACTGGTTGATATGTTGATAGCTACAGGATTTTTTTGTAGTATCTAATAGAAATGACAGCAAGTCTTGGAAATACTGACCATAAATTGAAATGAACCATCAATAAACTAGTCTTAAAAAAAATATTTTGACTTTGATATTTAATTCTTACTTTATGATAACTATGCCCATTGGCTAGAGATCGTTTATCAGATCGTCGATAAATGTTTGATTAGACGCATTATATACACATTGCAATGACATCGATTGAAATGCTTTGAATCCTGTTTCTTTTAATACTTGTTCGTGAATTGTTGGCAAAGATTTACAATGAATTATAGCCAGTATTGTAAAGACTGACGATAATTTTTCTATTATCAGGTAAAATGTTGGTATATATCGTCATAGGATATTTACATTTATCGAGCATGGTCTTTTATGCTACAGTATTGTCGATCATGCGAATAAGATTTGTGTTTTCAGCAAGTTTTATATTTGTATATTGTCTTATAAAATTCTGTGACTGTGATGATTCTAAACGGACATATAGATAGTATATAAGAGATGACAATACAAAAAAAAACAGAAAGATATGAGAAGATGATAGTTTTAGAAAAATGCCATATTATAAGTTTTCAGTGAATCCTGCTAAAAAATAGATATTTGTTTTTCTCTGGCGATACAATTGAGTTTTCCTGAAATGTAACAAGATACAATTTTAAATATCATATAATAAGATGGCAGATAATAGAATGATTAAATGATAAAAAGTTGTGTGTGAATAAAAATTAGAGACTGAAACGAATAAGAAAATTATCATTGAGTTCAGTTTGACTATTACAGCAACAGAAAAAAAATGATATTCTCATCTTCTTACATTATTTATTGATTAAGCTACATAGTTCTGTATGTTCACATTCTAGTTACCTGTTCTATATTTGATATATTCATACATATTCAAAGCAAAATTTATTTGATTAAAACAAAAAAGTACAATAAAAAATAGATTTTATACAATAAAATTACTTATAGAAATTCGACATTAATGAAACGGATAACAATATCACTACGATAATTAGCGAAAAGACTTAACAATAAAAGGTTAGCAGCTTGTTACAGTAACAAAATTTTATTTAACAAGAATAAAATAGACAGATGCAAAAATAATAATAAAAGACAGAAATCGCTGTACAATTTCGAGATTATCACAAGTATTCATTGATTTTCTGATATATGTATTTCGTTAAAAATGAAAATATCTTTGTATTATTAAACTTATTATACTAAAAGATAGTTAAGAAGTTGTTAACAAATATCTATCGAAAGTTTTGAATATAACTTTACAACTGCTATTCATTTCTTTTGTATCTATATAACTTATTCAAGTCAATTAATCAGTATCACATAGCATTATTTAGTCAATTTAATTAGTGTCAATTATACATTTACACCTGAAAAGTCAACTCTTTGTTTTTTTTTGTTTGTTTCCTATTCCTTGGCCTGTTTTTTTTTATGGCAAATAATTCTTGATGGTTTCATTGTGCTGAAATTTTATTCAATAATTGTTCATAATGAAACATGAGAAGTGTCATTTAGCAATTTAGTAAGATAATAAATGATCTATATTTTGTTTGTACTTATTAAACTATGATTGAATAGTTTTCAATTTTATCTGTTTTATTCCCAAAGTGTTTGTAATACAGAGAACAAAACTCAATAATGACATATTCAGTCGATTTCACTCGATAAAATCTATATGCAATTCAGTTTTGGTCTTTGATTGTTATTCATTCGTTTGTTGTCTTGATTGAATATTGATATTCATTATAATCTTTATTGTTATTTTTCTTTATTTAATCTTGTCTCTACTATATAATCAAATATATTTAAGTTTCCTAGAGATGTATACTTGCAATAAGGACTAAGATAATAAATGTTTGCAGTAATAAGAATGAGACTAGAGAAATAATGTGAGTTTTAATTAAAAGAAAATGACGTCGTTTACAAAATGAGTACCGTGAGACCACAATCTATAATTATTGTTTAAAGGGAAGAATAATAGTTTTGAGCTAATTAACTATTGTTGATGAAAATATAAAATAAACACCGTGTATTCATCACAACGGAATGAACGATCATAACCTTGAAGACAAAAAAAAAGAAATAGTTTCGTAGAAGTCACATATATTTTTCAAGAGAATCATGAGAATAATTTTATAGTTGAAGTGTTTCTGCTTCTCTATGTTTTCCTTACAGTCCTTAGCAATCGTTGTTAAAGGTCATTGTGCATGAACTTTCGTCTAGCATTTGAAAATAATAAACACTAGATTTCTTTCCGATAATCCTTTAGCAACGGAAATATAAAGATGAATAGATTTTTAAAAAAAGCATAAACTGATCAATTTTCAACTTGCCGGTAAAATCAATATCGGTATTTCTTAGTTTATCAAGACATCGAACAGTACGTTCAGACTTGCTGAAAATATACTGGATGTGTACAAGACACTAATTTTTCAGCTAGCTCAATGATTAGAAAAATAAAAATAACGTTAATTTAATAGAAACAAAATAACAAAAAGAAGACGAACACATAAATAGCCAATCGCAATAAAATAGGACAGATTGTTTCTCTGATGATCAATTATTTTTTTGAAAAGAACAATAGCCTGCTAGAGATTTTTAACCTTAGGTATTTTGAATTAATATTAAGAAACTAATGAACATATATAAGCTTCACATATTAGTCCCTCAAGGGGTTGCATGATTTCTAATTATCAGATGTGAAACGGACTTTCAACTTCAATCTACATCTAAGAAAATAATTTAAAATAGTAAAAAAAAGAAGATAATTTTACGTTTTTTTGTTGAACATCATAATGAAATAGTAAAACTTCATGATCAAATCCTAGTAAATAAAAAAAAAAAGGATACAATAAGAATGAGTAACGCTACGGAAATAAAAAATTTAATTAAACGTTTCTCATTCACTCGTCTGCATTATATTATATTTCATTCAATGGAAATCGATGCATTATTTGCTAATTCCCTTGATCTTTATCCATCAGATGTTATCATTATATAAAAACTATTGTTGTATCTAATCTCTCGTTGATGATGTAGTTTTTCTTTATATTTATAATCATTTTCATTAAATAATATCACTCATATTTATTATTTATTCATAGAAAAAGGTCTTATGTCTATCATTAAATCTAGAAAAAATTAAGCCTACTCTTTTTGACTTTTCCAACGCCTACAAGATTTCCAACAACACTTAATAGCTAACAAGAATAATATTTACATTTAATAAGAGAGTTTATTTTTAAAGATAGAAGTCGGTCAAATCTATGATTTTTGACATAAGTAAGAGCATTTTAATGACGTCAATCCAATGATTATGATAAAACTTTCAATGGATCTTTTAAAAAGTGTTGAAATATTGAAAGCTAATTTTGAAATATTAGATGTTCATTTAAATAATATTGTATATATTCGTTTTTTAGAAATTCATGAAAATTAAATGACAAAAATCTCAAAAAAAATAAAAAAGAGAATCCAATGAGACAGTTTACATGTATTATTCTTTAAATAGCAATGTATAATTCTTCAATTTCATTATAATTTTCTTTAAAATTCTATAAATAATTCTTTTCAAGAACATATTATTTATTATCTATTTATAGAAAAGAAGAAAGTTCAGTAAGAACTTTTATCATTAATATCAATTTCTTGATGGATTTTTTCAAATATCTCAAATCAATTTTTTTTTGCCATAATCTATACTTTTTTTTTGCGTTACAAATATCATCAATACGTTCAACGAGGATATCTTTATTCTATAGTTCAGTCAAAAGAAAAATTCGTTTTCTTTTCAATTAATAAAATGAATTCAAGTTATTTAATGTAGATAATAAATTCTTTTAGTATGACGTAGAATATCTCTGCCAAATAATTAAACCTGTATATTCTCATATCAATTTATCGATCACTATTTTCCATAATCATTCTACTCATAATTAATGAATTAACATCATTTTAGCATTAAGTTTTTCACTATTTTAATAGAAAATTGAGCTCAATAGATAATTTTTCATCTAATAGCTTCGCTATTACAAACACGATATAATCATTAACAACGATTACAAGCCATTAAAACGATTCATAAATGAAACAAATTTTGTAAAAATTTTTTTTTCTCATCACTTACAAACAAATATATCTATATCGTTTGTGTCATATCAGATGAGTTATTTTATATCAAAAAAAGAATCAAATTTTTGAAAATCAGCTTCAATTGAATGACGTTTATTTTGTTTTGATACCGTTGAAAATAATACTAATGCATCACGATCTTC